CGGCCCCTCCTCTTCGGCTTTTCCAGGCGCGGCAGCGGCAGTTGGCTGTTGAGGAGCTCCAGGCACTCCGCCGCTTGGCTCGTGACGATGCCACCCTGGCCCGTTTCACATCCCTTCAGGGCCCGGGGGCTGGTGCATGGGTTTCGGCAGTTCCGGCTCATTCAGATCTCACATTCACTGCAGCGGAGTGGGGCATTGCTGCTGCTATACGGCTTGGTCTCCCAATCCAGCAGCTGCAAGTGGCGGGGAGGTGTGTTTGTGGCACAGCGTATGATGACCCAGCAGACCCGCATCATGCGCTGAGATGCAAGCACCAACACGGTCCATCTCGGGTGCATGATGAGGTGAAGTTTGCGGTGGCAAAGATCGCTAAGGCGTCAGGGGGGGTGGTGACGATGGAGGATAGTGCGGTGCTGCCGGGGAAGCGGGTTGACGTAGCGGTGCGACGACCAATGGCTGGGGAGGCTCATGCTTTAGAGATTAGTGTCGCGGACCCGCTATCACTGTCTCCATCTCTGCTAGGGCAGTGCGGGCGGTCTATAGGCGTGGCGGCAAAGGAGTGGGAGCGTCGCAAAACGGGGGATTACGCGCCTCTTCTTGCACGGAACCGAGGCGTGCAGTTCACCCCTTTGATAGTGGAGACGTGGGGGTGTCTCGGCGGTCGCTTCCGGCGGTGGCTTCGACAGCAGGGGGACGCGCACGTGGGGCTAGCTGTGTCACGGGGGGCTTGTCGGGAGGATGACACTTCGTTCTCGGCTTACCTTTTGGGGTCTCTGAAGGCGCTCATCGGAGTGGCGTTACAACGGGCGCAAGCTCGTGTCATCCTGCTTCGGGCGGCGTCTTCCATGGGGGGGTTGAATGTGGACTTGGTGGATCGGGAGAGGGACGATGTCGAGGTGGAGGGCGGGCCTCTTTGGGTGGAGGCCCCCTACATGGTGGATGTGCAGATGTGACTTGGGGGGGGGGGGGGGGGCGAGGGGGAATGGGGTGCGAGATGGGACGTCTGGTAGGGGATCCTGGTTGGGTTTTTTTCTTTATGGAGTATTTTTATGGGGCTTTTTATGGGTGTTGCGTTTGAGTTGTTTCTGGTGTCTTTCTTTCTCTTTTCCAAAAAAAAAAAAAAAAAAAAAAACAACAACAACAACCACAACAACAACAACAACAACAACAACAACAACAACAACAACAACAACAACAACCAGAGGCGACAGAAGTCGTCGTAGGGTTGCGAAGCTTTTTCTTGAGGGGATTACTAGTGGGAAGTGTGAAATTGGAAAAACAATCGCTAAAATAAGGTCTTGGTAAGGTGATATCCAAGAGATTCGAACCTAAGACCATTCGGATATTAATTGACATTCAATCGACTAAGCTACATGCCCCGTATCGGTTCGCGCCTTTTAACTTGAGGTGAAGTATCAATGCGACGAAGTTTGCATTCCCTAGGGTTTCATTTCTTCCCTTTTTTTCTCGCTGCTTCCTCTTGCTCGCTTACTCTCCCCAGCAGCAGACGCTAGTTCTTGCTTGTCTTCTCTCCTAGACACACTGGTATGTTCGTTTTTTCCCTAGATTGCATCTTCGTCAGCTCAAGTATATAGTTGTCGCGATATAGTTCCCTTCAATTTCGTTTTCCAGCTATGACACTTTTTGTTTTTCTGGTCGTTATTTCGTTTTCTCAACTTTGATTTCCACCTCATTGCTCAGTAACGTAGCCGTTTTCCTTATTCCTTTCTCTTCCGTTTTTACTCGTCGTAGTTTTCGTGCATACTCTATTTTCTACATTTTCTCGTTCTCGTTCTCTCTCTCTCTCTCTCTCTCTCTCTCTCTCTCTCTCTCTCTCTCTCTCTCTCTCTCTCTCTCTCTCTCTCTCTCTCCCTCTCTCTCTCTCTCTCTCTCTCTCTCTCTTTCGTCGTTCTTTCTCTCGTTCTCTATCTCTCTCGTTCTCTCTCATTCTCTCTCTCTCTCTCTCGCGTTCTCTCTCTCTCGTGTTCTCTCTTGTTGTCTCTCTCTCTTTCTCTCGTTCTCTCTCTCGTTCTCTTTCTCTCTCGTTTTCTTTCTCTCTCTTTCTCTCTCTCTCTCGTTCTCTCTTTCTCTCTCGTTTTCTTTTTCTCTCGTTCTCTCTTCTCTCTCTCTCTCTCTCTCTCTCTCTCTCTCTCTCTCTCTCTCTCTCTCTCTCTCTCTCTCTCTCGCTCTCTCGTTCTCTCTCTCTCGTTCTCTCTCGTTCTCTCTCTCTCTCTCTCTCTCTCTCTCTCTCTCTCTCTCTCTCTCTCTCTCTCTCTCTCTCTCTCTCTCTCGTTCTCTCTCTGTGAAATTCACAGCTAAGGTATATCGTTGTTTCCTGTTTTGTTACTTGCTCTGTTTTTTGCGTTCTGTTTTTAACGTATAGCGTTGTTTATCATTTTTTTACCTTACCACCATTAGATTGCATTCTGTTTGGTTATTATAATATTCTCCTCATTTGACTTACTTTCTTTTCAATTTTCTCCACATTTTGATAATTCTTTTCTTCTCTCCCCTCTTCCTTCTTTCCCTCTCCTTCATTCGGTGCCTATTTGTTTTTCCAGATTTCCTTCTGGCTTTCGTTCCAGATGTGTACATCTGCCAAGATTACTTGTGAAGTGGATAGTAGTGGTAATCTGTAGGATTGTTTTGTATTGCATGTTTTGTTGTTTTTAGAGTTTTTTTGCATTTACGGTTTTTTTTTTTTCTGTTTGTGTGAATGTGTGTGATCTTGTATATGTGTTTGTATGTGTGTGTGTGCCTTTGTGTGTGTGTGTGTTGTGGCTGTGTGCATTCATCCGTATCCATTGCAATAACAACGCACGTCTTTGATCTTTAAAAAGAAATCTCAAATCTATCATTTCACAAAAGGTTCATTGGCGCACTCAGTGACTCGTGTGCGACCACTTCGAACTGGATTTGATAGAGATGATTTTCTTTTTAGATTTCACAGATTGTGTTGTTTCATGTGGTAGTTGATTATTCAAAAGCTAAGCTATTTACCTCCCCCCCATGCTAGGCAGGGGATGGCGGTAGCTTAGTTTTTGGGTTTTTAACTGTCACGCATTTTACCATGTGCATGCGCATCATTCATGATATATCACACGCATTATATAGCATTATTTATGCATTATGCATTGTATAGCATCATTTATGCATTGTGCATGCATCAATTTATTATCACACAACACCATTCAACAGTAAAACATATACGGTAATGCAAACAGTACCGTCAGCCCCCGGATAGAAGCGCCCCTGGGGGTATAAAATAGCACTGTTTTTTAGGGGGTGGGCTTATAATCGAGGATTTTTATAAGCGCCGGCGTTTATATAATGGCAAAAATGAAATTAAGTTTATTTTACACCAAACTGTAGATCTCGTTCTGCCCATTTTCATCGAGTCGAAACTATATGGGGTCACGAATCCGAATCTCGCGCAGCTTGGCAGGGATTGATTCCCTGCCAACACATGCTGACTAAGCGACAGCGCGTGCTGACTAGACGCGCAGCAAGTGAGATTTTGAGTGGGAAACTGGAATTGTGCTTCGTTTCCCTGCTAAGGCGAAGTTCGTTTCTGTAATTCGACAGTCTTTCAAGAAAAAAAAATCGACATGCGCTTATAATAAATCATGAATTCTCAGGGGGTGCGCTTATAATCGAGGACCGGATATAAGCGCCCTCATCCTTTTATAAGCGCCGGCGCTTATCCGAGGCCTGCGCTTCTATCCGGGGGCTTACGGTACAGCAAATCTGCACTAAACAACTGCAAAAAAATCATATGGTCTAATACACTGTGAACAGTACCGTAGTCAAGACTGCTTAACATGCATACAGTATGGGAAGGGTATTACTGTAGTTTGCAAATTTTATTTTCATGTTTTAACAAAAAATATAAACATGAAAATAAAATTTGGCAAAATCGATCGTAAAGGGTTGCTTCGCAACCCAAAAAAACGCAATCATCACCGTCCGAAACAAACTGCTCCCCCACCTATCACACCCTCCAGAGTTTCGTCTCTGCGCCTTACCACAGTTTCACACCCTACTACACTTGGTGTATTTCGCTCACGCCACGTAATCCCCTCCTTGGAAAATGGCGCCGGTAGCGGCCGGCACGGACGACCGTCAGGTGCAGGTTCGCTTCACGACGCGACTGCCGGCGCACCTGACGGTTCCGTCAACGCCGTTCACGGTGCCCGTCAGACTCACGCGCTACGGCCTGTCCGAAGTGATCAACACGCTGCTAGGCCGCGGTAATGCCATCGACGACAGGATCTAGCGAGCGATTATGTTACCACGTAGCGCTGAGATCGTGTGCTCTTGGTTGGATCGCGAAGGCATAGAGTCGCCGCTAGCTGCGGCAAACGCAACAGAATCAAGCGAACGGTATTGTTACCACGTAACGGTGAATGATATCATCACAAATGACTTGTCAGGCTCATGGGCGCGTTTCCTCTCGACAGCCCTATGAATGCCGTTCTCGCCCATTCCTGTCTCCACTCGTCTCCTCAAATCAAGGGCGCCCGCCCACCATCTGGTCTCATCAAACCCTCGTCTCCCCCCTTAGTCACCCGAAATCCCTTAGCTTCTACGATTTCAGTTCGATCCGTGCCCTCTCGGTGCAACATGCCTTAAATCTCTTGAACCCCATGCCTCTAGGCCCCGAACCCGAGCTCTCTAAATCCGAACCCCGGTGCCTAAATGTGAAAGCCTAGCTGATTTGATCTCATATTCGCCAGCTCTTCTCTTAGAAGCCGCCGGTTGCTCGCGTATGATATTATCCCCTGAACCTCTGATAAAACCCTTGTGGCACCGGCCACGCCACGCCTCTCCCTTCAATCCTGTTCGTTCCCCCATTGAATTGCTCATCTTTCCCATCCGTTCCCCTCTTCTATAATCTCCCCATTTCGAGCTTATTAGAGCCGTTGGATCCAATCATGGATGGACGGCCAACAGTGAGGCATTTTAATAATCCTACCTCCCGCTTTTTCTAATCCGTTCAGACGCACCACAACCGTTCGATTTCATTGTGGATGGACGGCTGCTGCGATCCTCCCTGCGCAAGTGCCTGCTGACGTCAGCACTCTCCACGGTGATGCCCCGATGCATGCATTCCTGCACGCACACCATGCATGCCATGATGTTTCATCCACATGCCATGATGTTTTATCCACATGCCATGATGTTTCATCCACATGCCATGATGTTTCATCCACATGCCATGATGTTTCATCCACATGCCATGATGTTTCATCCACATGCCATGATGTTTCATCCACATGCCATGATGTTTCATCCACATGCCATGATGTTTCATCCACATGCCATGATACTGCATCCACATGCCATGATACTGCATCCACATGCCATGATGCTGCCTCCACTCCTTCACTTCACTGTTCACGCCATCCATGCCTGCACCCTCATTCCCACTCCACCACGGCAGGAGCGAGTCACACCCATTGAGTAAACACTCGGCCCTAACTCACTCAACCCCTCACCCCCCCTCACCCCTCCTCCAACCCTTCCCCACCCCCACCCCACCACGGCAGGGGCGGGTCATACCCATTTAGTAGGCACTAGCAAGCCTGCTGTGTCGCCCCTCACCCCTGCTAGCAGGCACCAGCAAGCCTGCAATGTCGCCCCTAAGTCACTCGTATCTCCCCATTCACGCTCCCACCCCCCTCCCCACCCACCCACCGAAGCAAGAACGGGTCATACCCATTGAACACACCAAGGTTAAAAAAAACGTCGTTTTTTTTACAATTTACCGTAAAAAACGGTACCGTAAAATACGGACCGTAAAAAACGGTAAAAAACGGTTCCAGAAGGTGATTTTCGTTTGAAGAAAAAATTGGCAATTTTATGCGACCAAATTGATGGCGAAAATCACCAGGATCAAGAGGAGGAACCCCTCCTTGCATGTGTGCATGCGTCGGCATGATTGAAAATGTATCCGATCTTGTTTTTGCCGTTTTTTCCTTGGTGAAATGAGTTCTCTAACAAAAAAACGTCGTATTTTTGAAAATTTATCGTAAAAAACGGACCGTAAAAAACGGATCGTAATTTACGGAAACCGTATTTTTGCACCTTGGAACACACACTAGCACTTAAGCAGCCTTGCGCCTAACTCACTTGCCCCCTCATTCCCTCATTCCCCTCACTCCACCACCATGACAGGAGCAGCGGGTCAGACCCATTTAGTGCACACAAGCAAAGCAAGCAAGCCCCTGCAGTGTCGCCCTTTACTCGCTCGTCTCTCCCCCTTCCTTCCCGCTCCACTGACCCCCCACCCACCCACCATCCCATCATGGCAGGAGCGGGTGATCCCCGTCGAATACACACTAGCAGTGCGCCCGCCCTCTGCCTCATTCTGATCGAGTTCACACCAAGGATGAAAAATACGGTTTTCGTAAAAAACGGTCCGTTTTTTACGGTAATTTTCCAAAAAAACGGCGTTTTTTTGTTAGAAAACTGTCGTCACCAAGAAAAAAAGGGAAAAAAAACAAGGTCAAATACATTTTCAATCATGCCCACAAGCGCACTCATGCAAGGAGGTGTTTGTCCTCTTCATGCTGGTGATTTTCGCCATCTATTTTGTCCCATAAATGGCTGATTTTTTCTTCGAACGAAACCACCTTCTGGAACCGTTTTTTACCGTTTTTTACGGCCGTTTTTTACGGCCGTTTTTTACGGTAAATTTAAAAAAAAACGGCGTTTTTTTGAACCTTCACACTCCCACTCCTGCAGCCTCGCCCCTGATGCACTCACCTGCCCTCCCCACCCCGCATCACAACAGGAGCGGGTGATTCCCATTGAGTACACACTTGCAGTGCGCCCTCCCTCTGTCTCATTCTGATCGAGTTCACACTCCCACTCCTGCAGCCTCGCCCCTGATGCACTCACCTGCCCTCCCCACCCCGCGTCACAACAGGAGCGGGTGATTCCCATCGAGTACACACTAGCAGTGCGCCCGCCCTCTGCCTCATTCTGATCGAGTTCACACCCCCACTCCTGCAGCCTCGCCCCTGATGCACTCACCTGCCCTCCCCACCCCGCATCACAACAGGAGAGGGTGATTCCCATCGAGTACACACTTGCAGTGCGCCCTCCCTCCGCCTCCCACTCTGCTCCGCATGACGACTGGGTCTCTGCTGTCTCTGCTGCCCAACCCAGGTGAATTCCCTGCCAGGATTTGTTTCAAGTTTCGTTTCAGGTTTTGCCTCATCAGCTGCCATGTGCTTTCTCCAGTGAAATTTGGCTTCTGTGATGTCTAGTGTGTCCTCTCTCCCTGTGCACCCTGTGTGGGCCATTCAGTATATTCTCTCATGTGTGCAACTGCGTTCTCCATTCATTGTGCTCTAGATATCGACCACACACACTCTGTTCCTGTGCCTCAGGCCTTTGCAACATGCTGTTTCGAGCTTCTTACCGTCTAGCAGCTTTCTCCTTTCCCTTACCCCTTTCCTGCAACCCGCTCTCCCCACTGGAGTCAGGCCAAGCTGCACTGCAAGCACCCACACACACAGTCCCCTTCATCCCACTAGCAGCCCTATAGCTTCACCCTGCCTCACCCTGCCTCCCCCAAACCACCACCCCTTCTCCCTTCCGACCCCTGTTCCGCCCCCTGCATCATCCCACTCTCTGTTGCCTGTTGCAGTGTGATCGTGACTAGCGCATCTGACTCATCTTGCCGCCTCCCCCTTCCCCGTCTTCCCCCCTCTTCCCCCACTCACCGTCCTGTGCACTGTTGTCTGCTGCAGTGTGATCGTGACTGGCTCCTATGACTCGCACGTGCGGTGAGTGAGGGGTGGCAGGTAGGTAGGCTTGGCATGGCACGGCATGACATGGCATGGCACGGCATGACATGGCATGGCATGATCCCGTGTGCAGCAGCACACACGTGTCACGGGCACAGCTGTCTGCTGGGGATGTGCAGAATGGCAAGTTTTGAGGCGCCTCAAAATTCGGTGTGTGTGGCACAGCTGTCTTCTGGGGATTTTCAGAATGGCAGCAGCACCGGGCATGGCAGCAGCACGGTGCATGCAAGGCACTGTTGAGGGGCAGCAAGTGAGAGAGTGAGGACGCGCAGAGCCTTGTTTGGATGGACGAGGTGCTCTTGCTCTTTCATTTCATGTTCTCTGCACCATGTCCCTCCTTCTCCCTCCCTTACCTGTCCCTCCTCTCTCCCTTGGCTCTCTTTCCTTCATCTGTCTCTGTCACCTGCAGCCTTTTCTCCGTCCCTCCTACCTCCGCTGCTGTGGCCACCCCAGCTGATGCCACTGCTCATGCTGCGGATGCTGCTGATGGGGCGAGCAGCAGTGCGAGGTGCATTCAGGTGGCAGCAGCACACTCTGATGCCGTCACTCACATCGCCGCCCTGCCAGGTAGGTTCCACACCATGCCATGCCATGCTGCCTGCCAAGTGCTTGTGCAGTGCGGATGGCGCTCACTCACTCACACACACACACACTCACACGCAACTCACACACACTTGCTCGTCAGCTCCAGCAGTAGTTAACTAGTGGATGGCACTCACTCACTCACACTCACACACAGACACTCACACACACACACAACTCACACATACACTCGCTTACACACACATTCACTCACACACACACACACTCACACACACACACAGACACTCACACACTCTCACACACACACAGGCACACTCTCACACACAAACTCACTCACACACACACTCACACACAAACACTCACACACGCACACACACACACACACACCCTTACGCTTACACTCACACACACATACACAGACACTCACACACACTCACACACTCCACACTCACACACGCACACGCACACACACACACACACACACACACCACACACACACACACGCACAATATCTCTTTCTCACAGTCACACAATTGCCGGCCGGCTGTTTCTCTCTCACTTATGCTTATCTGGCATGATGCCATCAACCTGGCGACCAAGCCTGCTTTTTCCAATCAATTAAGCGACATCTTCCGAGCCCCCCGTTCCGATTTTCCGTATCAACCTGGCGACCAATCCTGCTTTTTCCAATCAAGCAAGCAATATCTTCTGAGCCCCCCCGTTCCGATGTTCCGTATCAACACGCATTTCATAGTTCCCTCACAACACACACGGCACCTCCCTCTTCCATGCGTCCACCCCCACTCATCTCCTCTCCCTCCGTTCCCCTCCCCAAATTTCCCCCGTATCTCCACCCGTTCCAGGCGCCAGCGCTTTCATTTCTGCTTCTAAGGACCGCACGCTGCGCCTCTGGCAGGTAATGCCCTCATGAATACTGCTGTGTTTCTCCTTTGGTTCTCAACTTTCCCGCTCCCACTCATTCCTCTCCCACTCATTCCTCTCCCACTCATTCCTCTCCCACTCATTCCTCTCCCACTCATTCCTCTCCCACTCACTCCTCGCTTTCCACATGCACCCCTCTCCACACACGCCCCTCTCTTGCCACAGCACAGCAGCCCTCCTCTCACCTTGTCGCCTTCTCCCCGTGCGTGCGTCACCCATTCCCTTTACCCCCCGGCCTCCCGCTCTTTCTGTCGCCCTCTCTGCCATGCCAGCTCGCTGCACACACCACTGACGCGTCCTCCTCGCTGCGGGCATCGGTAGTGGCAGTGATGCGAGGCCACTCTGCGGCCGTGCAGTGCGCCGCTGTGAATGCACGTGCTAATAAGGTAAGTGAGGCACATGCTTGGAAAGTATGTCACACACACACAGACACACACACACACACACGCCTTCTCACACGCCTTCACACACCTTCGCACACACTTAAGCTATGTGGCTTCATATGCACATGCATCGTCTGGTTCTGACACAGTCCTAATGCCTTCCTTTTCTGGCCTGAACGCCCTTATTCCATACGTGGCACCTGGGCCTATTGTTCCTTTTTTGAGGCGCCTCAAACATGGCACCTGGGCCTACTGTGCCTGGATTTGGACAAAATTTATTTTTGTTCATACAATACAGAGAGTTTTGAGAATTCTCAAAAACACTCTTCCTTCCTTGTGTTCTAGTTGAGTGTAATTCTTCAATTTCCTTTTTCATGCGGCTGGGTCTGGAACAGTATAGCTAGGATAGCACAATCAAGCTTTCCTCGCTGCCTCCTCTCCTCTAACTCTCTTCTTTCTCTCCCCTCTGCCTGCCACTCTTACCCCTCTTTTCCCTAGTCTCCCCATCAAGCTGCCATCAGGCGGCTGGGACAGCACCATCAAAGTCTGGACTCTTCCTCCTCTATCCGCCCCTTCTAGTCCCACTCTCTCTTCGCGTTCCCTTTTCTCCCCTCTCCGCTCCGTCTGCCGTGCCGTCTCCGCCCACCACAGCTGGCATCGTGTGGCTGGGACAGCACCATCAAGCTCTGGCCGCTGCCAGGGCTGGGAGGCAACGCAGCAAGGCGGGCAGGGGGACTGGACGCAAGTGCAGGTGGTGGGAGTGGGGGAATGGGGGAGGACGCGGGAGGAGAGGGGGAGGACGGGGAAGAAACGGGAGGAGCGGAGGGAGCGGGGCAAGCGCGGAAGCGAGTGCGGACGGCTGCAGGGGCAGTTGAGGCGGAGGGCGTGGCGGTACGCGACGCACTCACATGCGCCTTGCCTTCCCTTCTTAATGCTCCATGCTCAATTCTCCACTGCTCCCTGCTGCCTGCTGCCTGCTGCCTGCTGCCTGCTGCACGCATGCTAGCTGGGAGCCCGTTTTCATGCATGCTAGCTGGCTGCGCTGCAGCATGCCATGGCATGGCATGACGTGTTGCTGTGCTGCATTGGTACTTGATTGTGCCTCCTTGCCCCAGGTCCCCTCTCTAGAGCGCTGCACGTACAGTGGCTGGCACACCCGGCGTCGATTGCACATAGTATTGCTCCATGCCAATTTTATGATATCGATGCGCGGTAACATGATGGCAGGCCGTAAATCCACGTTCCTTTCTCCCTCACTCACTCCCCTCGCTTCCAGGTCCTCTCTCCGGAGCTGCGCACACACCCTAAGCCCCGGCCTGGCAATTTTTGCGCAGAGCTCACTGCAATCCCCCTTCTCCTCGCTCCTTCTCTTCTCTCCCCCGTTTCTCCCATCCTCACCCTGCCAGCTCGCCCCAGATCTCTCCCTAGACGCGCACACGCAGTGTGTGGCGGGCGTGGCATGGCCTTCACAGGGCTCCTCCCTCTTCTCCGTCTCGTGGGACCACTCCCTGCGCTCCTGGGACGTTGAGGCTGCTGCTGCTGTCTCTGTGCGGGTACGTGGTGTGCGTGGTCTGTGGGGTTAGGCTGGGTGACTAGTGACTGTGCGTTAATACTCCCTCTTCCCTCTTCTCTGTCTCGTGGGATCACTCCCTGCGCTCATGGGATGTTGGAGCTACTGCTGCTGTGTCGGTGCGGGTAGGCAGCAAGCATGCATCAACATTTTCTCTGCGCTCTTCTCCGTCTCGTGGGACCACTCGCTGCGCGCGTGCATCGGGCACTGCTGCTGTGTCTGTGCGGGTGCGTGGTGTACACTCACTTCCACTCGAAGGCAGGAGCACGTGCGTGCATCACCATGCCATGCCATCATGCACCACGGGCTCTGCTGGTAGGTTGTAGATGCACCACGGGCTCTGCTGGTAGGTTGTAGATGCACCACGGGCTCTGCTGGTAGGTTGTAGATGCACCACGGGCTCTGCTGGTAGTGTGGTTGTAGGTTAACCACGCGCACTTGTCGCTCGTCGGATGTGGATGTTTCTGTTGCCCTTCCCCCGGGATCTGATGTGATGCTTCTGTCCCACCCCTCCTTTCTCTCACTGCAGACCAGCGCCCATCCACTGCTGACAGTGGCAGCAGGGGGAGGCGGAATGGCGTCGCTGGTGGCAGTGGGGGGCGCGCACCCCACCATGCTGCTGTGGGACATGCGTGCAGCCACGTGTGAGTGAGATGTGATGTGAGGGTATGGGGACATGTGCTCTTTCTCGTTGGGTGGCGCGCACCCCACCATGCTGCTGTGGGACATGCGCGCAGCCACGTGTGAGTGAGATGTGATGTGAGGGTATGGGGACATGTGCTCTTTCTCGTTGGGTGGCGCTCACCCCACCATGCTGCTGTGGGACATGCGTGCAGCCACGTGTGAGTGGGATGTGAGGGTATGGGTGGGGTGAGGCCATGTGTGAGTGGGATGTGAGGGTATGGGTGGGTTGAGGCCATGTGTGAGTGTGATGTGGGACATGCACTCTGCTCTGCTCACCCCACCATGCTGCTGTGGGGCGTGCGTGCAGCCACGTTTGAGTGTGCTGGCTGCCTGTGAAGGTATACCGTGGGTGTGCTGTGGGACATGTACGCTGCTCACCCCACCATGCTGCTGTGGTGTGTGAGATGCACGCTGTCATGTGTGAGTGTGCTGTGACGGCGGCATGGGTGGTGCACAGGGCACATGTGAGCGAGTGAGAGGTGGGAGGTTATGGTTGTCGTGCGAGCATGTGCTCTTTCCCCAGTGGAGGGTGCGCTCACCTCACCATCCATCCTGCTGTAGGACATGCGCGCTGCCACATGTGAGTGTGCTGTGGAGATGGGTGTGAGTATGAGGTATGTGACAGTGGTTACACTACTGGTTGATGTGAGAGTGGTTGAGTGTTATGGGAGTGTGGTGTGAGTGTGGTTTTAGCATGGTGCCAGCGGGGTGTGAGGGGCAAATCCACTTCTCGACTCCAGTCAACTCACTCACTCCGAAGCTCCCCGCACTCCGCAACTCCTTTCACGTCCCATCTCCTCCTTATCTATACCCCAACCCCTTCCAACTTCTGTCAACCTATACCCTCGCGTTCACCCCATGTCGCATGCCTTATGCCCATTCTGTTAGAATATAGCATGTATATGGCTAGAACTAATAGTGTACACCCAAATCATGGGTGTACACATTGAGGTGGTCTCCCAACTTTTGGTTGGGTTTCCACAACCCAGGCGACCATTATTGTTGGGGAGCCAACATTGGTGGCCAACCCCTCCAATGTTTGGCCCCTCCAATAATTGACTCAACCTCAATTATTGGGCTGGACCCTCACCACATTGGTCAACCAATAATGGTGTGGGGTAACTCTGATTTTGGTCACTCTTCCCATTCCCTATTTGTACTGCTCTTCTTTATCAATATACCAACTCTTGAGTTCACCCCCTAATCCCAACTATGGGATTCTCACATGGTATAGAGCTATTTTGGCTAACGCCACCTTCTCCCTCCCTAGGAGATCCTCGGCCTCTTGCCAGCTTCATGGTCTTTGCCCCATCAGCCTGCTCCCCTCCCTCAGGCTTTTCCCCGTGGCTTTTGAGGCGCTTGTACGCGCCGACCCGCGCGACGAACGCGCCTACCACTTCGCCCGTCGATTCCGCTTCCGAGGGCATTCCGCCCGTCAATCCCGCTCCCGAGGGCATTTCGACCCTCAATCCCGCTCCCAAGGGTATTCCGCCCGTCAATCCCGCTCCCGAGGGCATTTCGCCCGTCAGCGCATTCATTCGCATCGTCACCACGCTTCCGCCCCCCTTCTAAGGGCCATCCAACCCACCTCCCCTCGCTTCCTCCTCCTTCGGGCCATCCAGCCTTCCTCCCCCTTCCCCCTCGCTTCCTCCTCCTTCGGGCCATCCAGCCTTCCTCCCCCTTCCCCCTCGCTTCCTCCTCCTTCGGGCCATCCAGCCTTCCTCCCCCTTCCCCCTCGCTTCCTCCTCCTTCGGGCCATCCAGCCTTCCTCCCCCTTCCCCCTCGCTTCCTCCTCCTTCGGGCCATCCAGCCTTCCTCCCCCTTCCCCCTCGCTTCCTCCTCCTTCGGGCCATCCAGCCCTCCTCCCCCTTCCCCCTCGCTTCCTCCTCCTTCGGGCCATCCAGCCCTCCTCCCCCTTCCCCCTCGCTTCCTCCTCCTACGGGCCTCCCAGCCCTCCTCCCCCTTCCCCCTCGCTTCCTCCTCCTACGGGCCTCCCAGCCCTCCTCCCCCTTCCCCCTCGCTTCCTCCTCCTACGGGCCTCCCAGCCCTCCTCCCCCTTCCCCCTCGCTTCCTCCTCCTTCGGGCCATCCAGCCCTCCTCCCCCTTCCCCCTCGCTTCCTCCTCCTACGGGCCTCCCAGCCCTCCTCCCCCTTCCCCCTCGCTTCCTCCTCCTACGGGCCTCCCAGCCCTCCTCCCCCTTCCCCCTCGCTTCCTCCTCCTACGGGCCTCCCAGCCCTCCTCCCTTCGCCGCCGCGGCTCTCCCGCTGCCACGGCCATTTCACCGCCCTGCCATCTCGTGGTCGCCAACGCTTCCTACCCCACCTCGTAGTGGCCTGCTCTGCCACCTCCCGCTGCCGCCGCCGTCTCCCTTCGCCACCTGCAGCCCCCCCCCCCTCCCTGCCGGTGTGCGACCTCACCGCCACAGCACCTTCGGCTGGCTTGCTTCCTCACCTGCAGCAGCCCCCCCCCCCCTCCCTGCTGGTGTGCGACCTCACCGCCACAGCACCTTCGGCTGGCTTGCTTCCTCACCTGCAGCAGCCCCCCCCCCCTCCCTGCTGGTGTGCGACCTCACCGCCGCAGCACCTTCGGCTGGCTTGCTTCCTCACCTGCAGCAGCCCCCCCCCCCTCCCTGCTGGTGTGCGACCTCACCGCCGCAGCACCTTCGGCTGGCTTGCTTCCTCAGCCCCCCCCCCTCCCTGCTGGTGTGCGACCTCACCGCCACAGCACGTTCGGCTGGCTTGCTTCCTCACCTGCAGCAGCCCCCCCCTCCCTGCTGGTGTGCGACCTCACCGCCACAGCACCTTCGGCTGGCTTGCTTCCTCACCTGCAGCAGCCCCCCCTCCCTGCTGGTGTGCGACCTCACCGCCGCAGCACCTTCGGCTGGCTTGCTTCCTCACCTGCAGCAGCCCCCCCCTCCCTGCTGGTGTGCGACCTCACCGTCACAGCACCTTCAGCTGGCATGCCGCGTCATTCGCCGCATCTATTACCGGGTCCTCGCTTCAGGGGTTGTTTGGTCTAGCCATTCTCATGCTAAGGGGTTGTGTTAGAATATAGCATGTATATGGCTAGAACTAATAGTGTACACCCAAATCATGGGTGTACACATTGAGGTGGTCTCCCAACTTTTGGTTGGGTTTCCACAACCCAGGCGACCATTATTGTTGGGGAGCCAACATTGGTGGCCAACCCCTCCAATGTTTGGCCCCTCCAATAATTGACTCAACCTCAATTATTGGGCTGGACCCTCACCACATTGGTCAACCAATAATGGTGTGGGGTAACTCTGATTTTGGTCACTCTTCCCATTCCCTATTTGTACTGCTCTTCTTTATCAATATACCAACTCTTGAGTTCACCCCCTAATCCCAACTATGGGATTCTCACACATTCTCCCATGCCCCATGCTCCTCAGATCCCCCTCGCCGCCTCTCTCCCCCTTCTGTCAGTCGTACTCTCTCCATCGATGCAACCTCTGCCCCGATGCTCAATCCTCCCCCCTCTCCTCTTCCCCCATCTCGTCCCATCACCAGCTGTGCTCTCCCCATCGATCCAGCTGCTGGGCCACACGGATTGGATCTCCTCCCTCGCATGGTAACGTGGGAAGGAGCATTTACTCATTCCGCCTTTTCCGTCAGTTGCCGAATCACCCTTCCTTTTTCATGAATAGCGCTCGTTTTTTTTTTTTTTTTTTTTTTCGCCAAGCAATGAACTAGAATACCTATATATATTTATGTATACATACTAAATATTTATATTGAAAAGTATGGCTAAAATGCTTCTGAGTTTTTATGCTTATAAATTCTCTCCCTTCGTCTCCCATGTTTTCATCTCCCATTCAGTCATCTCCGATGCTGGTCACGTGCCATTCTCCTTGGTTGCTTCCCTTCCTGATCCGTTCAAACTCTTTTATCCCACTGCCATGCTATCCCACTGCCATGCTATCCCACTGCCATGCTATCCCACAGGTCCCCATCAAACCCCCTGCATCTCCTCTCCTCCTCCTACGATGCCTCGCTCAAGATCTGGGACCTCCGCTCCACTGTATGTTGCCGCTCCCCCGTCCCCCCTCCCATTCCTCCTCTCTTCCTCTCCCTCCTCGCTTCCCACTTTCCCTCTCCCCTGCCCAATCCAAAGTTCCGAGTCGCCATGCTAAGGGATTGTTATAATGCCCGGCCTGATCTGATCCCATCCCATCATGCCACTAGTTATTGCATGCACCACTGTCAGCTGTCATGCTCATGCCGATTACTCTCCACCACAATATCGAACCCACTGGTGCAAGCCAGCCGTGTGTGTCCAAGTGCAAGTCCCTGGCGTCACATGCAAGGCAAGCATGACGTCAAATTTGACACACGTATTCCCCTGCCTGGGCTCATTTTGAGGCGCCTCAAAAGTCGCATGCAAGCGTGATGCCAAATATGACACAAGTTTTCCCATTCCTGGGCTCAACTCGACCACATATGTGCCTCTTGCCGCTGTGCCTCTTGCCGCTGTGCCTCTTGCCGCTGTGCCTTGCTCGATTATGCAGGTTCCACTTCACACGGTCAAAGCCCACTCGGATAAGGTGAGTTGGTTTCATAGCTCTTTGTGTGTGCCCATGCGCACTGCAGCAGTGTGTTGCTCATGGAAAGGGCAACACCTTCCACTCCGTTCGTGTGCCATCATGCTGCCAGGTGTGCATGGACCAGACCATCCATCGTGTGACACCAGGGGTTTCCATGAGAGACATCCACTCATGTGTTGTGCGCCCATGGCTTATCACCCACACATTGCATACCACCCACACATGGCATGCCACCCACACATGGCATCCCACCCACACATGGCATGCCACCCACAAACATCCACACATGTCACGATTCCCATGTATGCATGTCATGACTCCCATGCATGATGCATGTCACGATTACCATTCATCCATCTCACTGTCCCCATGCACGTGTGTGACTGTCCCTCATGCCCTGACCTCATACAATAACCCCACACACCTCTGGGCTGGGCAGGTGCTGTGTGCGGACTGGTGGCAGGGCGGCAATGCGTCGGTCAGTCACGCACTTGTATCATATAAACGAGCCTTGTCACATAACCGTGTCCTGCCCCCGTGCCCGCATCCCATTACCCTTCATGCACCCCTGGGTGGGCAGGTGCTGTGTGCGGACTGGTGGCAGGGCGGCAATGCTGTGGTCAGTGGGGGCGCCGACAACCTCCTGCGCATCTTCACCCACCACTCATAAAATGACACGTGTCAATCTCCCCACATCTTCACCCACCACTCATGAGATAAAATCATGAGATGGCCCGATTCCTGAGGCGCCTCAGAAAGGCCGTGAGCCTCCTCCGCCGCATCTTTACGCACCACTCACTCGTTCCTGCTGCCCAGTCGAGGCATCACCCTTCCATGGTGCCCGTCTTGAGACATCTCAACTCAACCCCTGCCACATCTTCACCCACCATGCACCTTCTTGCCGTAATGGCATCTGCATTTCATCACCCAGGAGTAGTGGTAGCTTGTATGGATGTTATGGTGCTACTGTAGCAAATACGAATACTGTTTGTTATATCAACAAGGAAGTAACATCACTGGCATAAAGATATTTACATGGTATGATAACACGTGAATACTGGACCGTGCTACAAGGGAGTGGCTGCCCTCACATTACAGGTCGGCCCGTAGGGTGGACTACGGATACAGAGTTAGGGCTCTGGATTGGTATTTGGCAGGGGCTCCGTTTACAGTAGGTTCAGCAATCAGGGGCGAAACGAACAACTCTCCTTTTCTTGCTCGCTCGTTGCTCGCCGTTCAACCCGACTTGCTTAGAAATGTTATCCTTCGCTACTGCCTTCGCGTTCCTATCCGCAACGCCAGACTTCCGATTGAAAGATGCTCTTTTGGGAACCGTCACGGTGAGCACTCCATTCCGCGCCACTGCTGTAACCTTCTTTGTAGACACGCCACGTGGCAGTCGGAAGCTTCGCGCGAAGCTGCTGAACTCCTTCACAACGCGGCTGCTGTCGTCAGCGTCTCTCTCCTCTCTGGTCCGCTTGCCGGTGATTGTCAGAACATCCTTCCCCCGCACCTGCACTTGCATATCCTCCTTCTCGAGGCCTGGAACGGTCGCGACGAATTTAAACGCGTCTGGAGACTCTTCAACGACAACCTTGGGAACGCCGAGTGAATCGTCGGCGAGCTCACGAAGAGCTTGGGTTACCGGGTTACCACCGATGGAAATGAGATTGCTAAGCGGATTACTGTGGAGCGTGTGACTGAGGAGAGACGGCGAGTCGCTGAGGAGATCCCTTGGAAAGCCTTCTAGCATGGAGGTCATATCGTCGAAGTCGCTTAACGAAGAAATTGAATCCGCAAACGGGTTAGAAGAAAGCAGCGCCAGCGCCATGACTTCTACTTCAGCTAGGAGCGAATGAGACGACTCGGAGTCGCAAAGCTGTGGTAATGTGCTAGTGGCGGCAGTAGCTAGATCCAGGAACGTTGTTGGTGTGCTTGGAAGTTATAGCAGGTTTAAAGTGACGTTTCTGAGAGCCGAAAGAGCAGGCATAAATACTGGAGTGAGAACGCATCTCGTCGCGCGGAATCGAAGACATTCGCGAAGCGCACGCGGCTTGGAAGGAGGGACGGCTGGCCCTAGACCGACTGGGGCGGACAGCCTTGAATCCGCTAGAAGCAAATTTCTCTTCGAATTGTTCAGAATACAATTGATGCCTGTTTGAGCCCCTCCCGGTTGCCTTATGAAGGGGGCGTATAAGCTGTCACGAGCAGTTCGCATAAGTTTCGTCAATTCGCAGCTAGCTAAAAAGAATTCGCATGTGCTTATAAACAAGACTCTGCTACCTAGTTACCTAGTTTGACTTCAGTCTCTTCTGCTTGACTTCGGTCTCTTCTGCTTGACGCGCTTGTAATGTAGGTGCATAAGGCTGGGGAAACAACCTCGGGTGCAGCGTATCCATCCGGCGCAAGGCAAATTCGCGTGCATGGGGTGAGCATCAATTGTATCGAGGTGGGGGATGCTGGGTTGTTCCAGCAGCGTGCAAGACGAAGCTGGAAAACTCCCGAAGGTTCGCGAAACTTGGCGACCATCTGGTTACACGTAACAAAGATTTGATTGGCCATGGCAAACATGCTAATCAAGTTCACCCGCTGTACATATTACACGTGCCCCGACGTAGTGCTAAAATGCAATTATACATGGCCTAAAACAAGATCAAAACAACACATTATTGTAGCAGCATCAACTACTGCCTTTGGAAAGAAAAATCAAGCTGCACCTTTTAGCAACCCAGAGATAGAACCAAGCAAAGGAGTGCAGCCATGTGCATCGGCATCAAACTTGAACACAACAGCAAGATAGCCTACAAGCGCAAGTGAGACAGCCATGAAGAGGCGAGGCGGGTAGAAGCCATGGAGAGCCATGGCGAGGAGAACACCCCAGCCCATGAGAATGCAGCCCCAGGAACAACCCAGAAACCTGACGCGGGCGTTACGGGGATGTGTGGGAAGGGAAGAAGGTCAGGAGCAATGATATGATCAAACCAGCCATCATTACACAGAAATGAGTGTAATGGAAGGAAGAAGGGGAGAGAGAAGGATAAGGGGAAAGAGGGGGGTGGGAGAGGGGAGGGGTGGTGGAGTTAAGCAGGGGATGGGTGAACGCAGCACATCTCGTAGCAGACAGAATGTGTCTACCACTGCCACTACCACTGGGGATGCCAGAACGCGTGCAGCCGTGGAGTGGAGAGTGACAGGCAGCAGGCAGACAGTGGTAGTGGCGCGGGCTCGATAACGATGGCGATGGCGATGGGTTGGGGAAGAGCATGTGGCAGATGCGTTGGCAGGGAGGAAGCAGGAGAGCGAGACTCCGGGTGGAGGTGGGAGGCTAGCCATGCTGCCTGGTGAGGACCACTGCGGAAATACTGACAGATGGATATCACTGCGGAAGCAGAGAATGGGTTTCACAGACGAGGCACTGTGGGGCTTACTTGCTGCAAAAATCTGAGCTTGTTCATTGGTTGGCCGCTCTGCTGCATGCAGCATGAAGGGCAGCAGGAGGGGCAGCAGGAGGAGCAGCAGGAGGGGCAGCATGAGGGCAGCATGAGTGACTCACCAGATGAAGTCACGTGTGAAGAGCGCCCGCGGCACCATGAGACCGTTGCCCACCATGCCCAGCAGCGAGGAGAGCGCTGACATGCCCGCCAGCTGGTCGGGCCGCGTGAAACACACCTGAGTGGGTGGGGAGGGGAGAGGGGGGGGAGGGGGAAAGGGCTGACTTGCCTGACAGCTGGTCGGGCCGCGTGAAACACACCTGAGTGGGTGGGGAGGGGAGAGGGGGGGGAGGGGGGAAATGCCTGACTTGCCTGACAGCTGGTCGGGCCGCGTGAAACACACCTGAGTGGGTGGGGAGGGGAGAGGGGGGGGGAGGGGGGGGGGCCGGGGTTTGGGGAGGTGTGGGTAATAAAAGATGCCCGCTAGCTGGTCTGGGTGCGTGAAGCTCACGGGGGGGAGCAGGAAGATGGGGAGGTCACGGGACGGTAAGAGAAGCTGGGAGGGAAAGAGGAGTGGGCGGAGGGAGGAGAGGGCTGACGTGCCCCCCAGGTAGTCCGGCGGTGAAGCAGATCTGGGGGGAGAGGGGAGCAGATCTGGGGGCAGGGGGGAGCGGGAACGGGAAGTGGGGTCGGTGAAGGGATGGAGGGCAGAGAAACGCTACAGGGGGTTGAGAGAAGATGAGACGGGGTGAGGAGCGATGAGGCGCGAAGGGAGAAGGCAAGGCAGGAAGGGAGGGAGGACATGAAGGGAGAAGGGAGAAGGCAAGGCAGGAAGGGAGGGAGGACATGAAGGGAGAAGGGAGAAGGCAAGGCAGGAAGGGAGGCAGGACAGACGGACGGAGCGATGTGGCATTGTGAGCGATGTGGCATTGTGAGCGATGTGGCATTGTGAGCGATGTGGCATTGTGAGCGATGTGGCATTGTGAGCGATGTGGCATTGTGAGCGATGTGGCATTGTGAGCGATGTGGCATTGTGAGCGATGTGGCATTGTGAGCGATGTGGCATTGTGAGCGATGTGGCATTGTGAGCGATGTGGCATTGTGAGCGATGTGGCATTGTGAGCGATGTGGCATTGTGAGCGATGTGGCATTGTGAGCGATGTGGCATTGTGAGCGATGTGGCATTGTGAGCGATGTGGCATTGTGAGCGATGTGGCATTGTGAGCGATGTGACATTGTGAGCGATGTGACATTGTGAGCGATGTGGCATTGTGAGCGATGTGGCATTGTGAGCGATGTGACATTGTGAGCGATGTGGCATTGTGAGCGATGTGGCATTGTGAGCGATGTGGCATTGTGAGCGATGTGGCATTGTGAGCGATGTGGCATTGTGAGCGATGTGGCATTGTGAGCGATGTGATACAAAGCGAATATCTTCAGGCTGCTCACAAAACGCTTCATGCATGCATCAGAGAGTGGTACAAAGCGGTGCAGAGGCCTATCGAGACGTGTCAAAATTCATGCATGCATCAGTGAGTGGTACAAAGCGGTGCAGAGGGGTGGGTGGGCGCACCTGCAGCTGGGCGACGAGCATGACCATGAAGAGCAGAGCAGAGTGGCGGTCCAGCCACTCAGCATTTTGCGTCGGCTAAAATAATCGATTCATTGTAAAACAAACGGTTTTAAAGAGGAGATTCATTACATGCGGACTCAAATGCCAACTCTCACCTGCAGCTGAGCCACAGGCATGACCATGAAGAGCAGAGCAGCGTGGCGGTCCAGCCACTCAGCATTTTGCGTCGGCTAAAATAATCGATTCATTGTAAAACAAACGGTTTTAAAGAGGAGATCCATTACATGCGGACTCAAATGCCAACTCTCACCTGCAGCTGAGCCACAGGCATGACCATGAAGAGCAGAGCAGCGTGGCGGTCCAGCCACTCAGCATTTTGAGTCAGCTAAAATAATCGATTCATTGTAAAAAAATCGGTTTCAAAGGGGAGATTCATTACATGCAGACTGAAATGTCAACTCTCAAAAGCCAACACGGTGCCAAGCATTTCACCTGCAGCTGGGCGACGGGCATGACCATGAAGAGCAGCGTGGCGGTCCAGCCACTCAGCAGCTGCCACCTGTCCCGCCACCGCTGCCCCACCAGCCCCCTCCGCATGCCCGCGATGAACAGTAGCCCGCCCACCGCCGAGATGGTTCCTGGAAGCTTCGTCTGCACAGAAGAGAAGGTAGACCAGATGACCTGCGGGGGGGGAGGAGAGGGGAGCGAATGGGGGATGGGTGGAGGGAGAGGAGAGGGAAGCGGATGGGGGATGGGTGGAGGGAGAGGAGAGGGGAGTGGATGGGGAATGGGTGGAGGGAGAGGAGAGGGGAGCGATGGGGGATGGGTGGAGGGAGAGGAGAGAGGGGAGCGGTGGGGGATGGGGGAAGTGAGAAGAGAGGGGAGTGGTGGGGGATGGGGGAAGTGAGGGGGAGCGGTGAGGTTGACTTCTAGTCGACTCAAAAGATGACCTGCAGGGGGAGCAGCAGTGGGGGATGGGTGGAGGGAGAGGAGAGGGGAGCGGTGGGGGGTGGGTCCAGGGAGAGGAGAGGGGAGCGGTGAGGTACAGGGAGGGGAGGGGAGCGAGGGAATGGGAGGTGAGGGGTTGGAGAGGTGAAGGAGAGAGAGACGGGGAGAGGGACTGGAGGGGAGGAGTGGCATGAAAAATGGCATGGGGTGGTGGAGGGACGAGGGTAAGACGGAAACGAACAGAAAAGGATCTGAGGTGGGGCAGGGGGAGGGGGGTGGAAGAGAAGCATGGCGAGCGGAGACGAGGAATGGGAGATGGGGGAACACTTTTTCATGTGCTTTGAATGCAAGGAAGGATACAACAGAAGTTCGGAAATAGCACAGATGGATGAGAGACGAAAGGATACGACGTTTGCAGTGGCAAGTGGCAAGGAGCTGTTTCCCTTCCCCCCACCTGCGGCAGCACAGCGAGTCCCAGGACGCCAATCACGTCCTGCCACGTGTCCCACAGCGGCTGGGGCAGGCGGCGGGTGAAGCGCAGGCAGTTGACGGCACAGCCGAGCAGCAGATAGGCCGCCACTGCTGTGAAGGCTGGTGGCGGCATGAACCCCGCGAGGTAGACCTGCGAGAGGAGGATGGCCGTGGAGGCAGCTCCTACCACCTGGCACGGGGGAGAGGGAAGAACGGGGGGGTAGGGGAAAGGCGGTAACGGCGCAGCCGAGCAGAGCAGCAGATAGGCCGCCACTGCTGTGAATGCTGGTGGCGGCATGAACCACGAGATAACACCTGAGAGAGCAGGATGGCCGTGGAGGTGGCTCTTACTACCTGATACACAGGGGAGGAAAGGGGGGGGGTTGGGACGGAAAAGGGGGAGAAGAGAGGGGGGAAGAAGGGGGTTGAGGGCTGGTGGTGGCGGGTGCAGCGCAGCGCAGGGGGGCGCCCCTACTACCTGGCAAGGGGGAGGGCGGAAGCGCTGTGAGCAGAGGGCAGATGGCCGTGGAGGCGGCCCCTACTGCCTGATAGAGGGAGGGGGAGGAGAGGGGAGGCAGGGGGGACGGGATGGGAAGGCGTGTGACGCGCAGGCTGTGACAATGCAGCCGAGCGAGCAGCAGATAGGCTGCGACAGTGAAGTGGTGCAGGGCGGGGCGGGGCGGGGCGGGGCGGGGCGAGGCAGGGCGGCATGAACCCCGCAATGAACCCCGCAATGAACCCCGCAATGAACCCCGCAATGAACCCCGCAATGAACCCCGCAATGAACCCTGCAATGAACCCCGCAATGAACCCCGCAATGAACCCCTGCGAGAGGAGCACGGCTGTAAGGTGGTGGAGGGGAAAAGGGCAGCTCCTATACGCTGCAGATTGTTTTTGAGAATTCTCAAAAACAATCTGCAGATAGACGAGGGGGAAAGAGGGGCGGGTGGGGAAAAGGTGGGGAGGAAAAAAGGGGGGAAGCGGAGGAGAGGGGGGGGGAAGAGGGGGGGGTGGCTGAGGGAGGAGAGTGGTGGTGGCAGTGTGTGTGTGTGCAGCGCAGGCAGGTGATGGTGAAGAGTGGTGTCAAAGCAGGCGAGCCGAGCAGCAGATAGGCCGTCACAGTCACGAAGGGGATCAAGATTCATGTGGGGAGTAGCAGCAAACCTAAAGAGCTCTCAAGGTCACGGTCGCTGTGGAGGCAGCTCCTACCACCTGGCACGGGGGAGAGGGAAGAAAGGGGGTTAGGGAAGGCGGTAGGGGAAAGGTGGTTACGGCGCAGCCGAGCAGAGCAGCACATAGGCGGCCACAGCTGCGAATGCTGGTGGCTGATAGGCCGCCACGGCTGTGAATGCTGGTGGCAGATAGGCGGCCACGGCTGTGAATGCTGGTGGCAGATAGGCCGCCACAGCTGCGAATGCTGGTGGCAGATAGGCCGCCACGGCTGTGAATGCTGGTGGCAGATAGGCCGCCACTGCTGCGAATGCTGGTGGCAGATAGGCGGCCACTGCTGTGAATGCTGGTGGCAGATAGGCGGCCACTGCTGTGAATGCTGGTGGCAGATAGGCGGCCACTGCTGTGAATGCTGGTGGCAGATAGGCGGCCACGGTCACGGAGCGGAAGAGGTGCGAGAGGATGGCTGTGGATCCCCGCCCCATCCTTGGGCGAGAGGGGGACGGAGAGTGGAGGGGAGGGAGAGTGGAGGGGAGGGAGAGTGGAGGGGAGGGAGAGTGGAGAGGAGGGAGAGTGGAGAGGAGGGAGAGTGGAGAGGAGGGAGAGTGGAGAGGAGGGAGAGTGGAGAGGAGGGAGAGTGGAGAGGAGGGAGAGTGGAGAGGAGGGAGAGTGGAGAGGAGGGAGAGTGGAGGGGAGGGAGAGTGGAGAGGAGAGGTGGGCTGGCAAGAAATGCGGGTAGGAAGCCTGTAGGTGACCCTTGGTAGGTGGTACCTGCACCATGACCATGCTTGGTAGGTGGTACCTGCACCATGACCATGCTTGGTGGGTGAATGGATGAGACAAGCATTGGACAAGGGAAGACCTGGACCACATACCACCTAGCAAGGTGGTGATACCTGCACCGCGCATCAGTACCTGTACCACGCATCACTGCCTGCACCACGCATCAGTACCTGCACCACGCATCAGTACCTGCACGAGGCATGCTGACAGCTCGCGCTTAGCGGTGAAGTAGGAGAGCAGCAGCATGTTGCCCAGGAAGCCCGTGGCGAAGCCCAGCCAGGACAGGATGCCCAGCGCTGCGCCCTGGTTGGCGCGCAGCAGCGCGGCGTTCTTGAGGATCTGCAGTGTGGGGGGAAGCGGGGGGGCGGGGGGAGAAGCGGGGGGCGGGAGGGGGGAGCAATGCAAAGAGAGAGATGGGAGATGGGTGTGCGGAGCGGCGTGAGGTGAAGGGACGGGCAGAGCCCCGCCCCCCCTTAATTGGCACACATGACGGTAGGATCTGCCGTGGCAGCGAGTGATGCACGGCGAGAGAAGGGCGAGGGATGATGAGGGGCGAAGGGCGAGGGATGATGATGGGTGAGAGGCGAGGGATGAGGGGTGAAGGGCGAGGGATGAGGGGCGAAGGGCGAGGGATGAGGGGCGAAGGGCGAGGGATGAGGGGTGAGAGGCGAGGGATGAGGGGCGAAGGGCGAGGGATCAGGGGTGAGAGGCAGGTGAGAGGCGAGGGATGAGGGGCGAAGGGCGAGGGATCAGGGGCGAAGGGCGAGGGATGAGGGGTGACAAAAATGGAGGAAAGCGGGGAGAGGAGAGGGGGACAATGGAGAGACGCAGAGGCAGAGGCAGAGGCGGAGGTGAGGGACTTGGGGGGAGGCTTGTGGGTTTGGGGTGGGAGGAAGAGGGGGATCGCAAGGGGTACGGGAAGACAGGGCTGCTCCTACTGCACCCCACATCCCCTTCTCCTCCTCTCTTCTTGTCCTCTTGTCACTCCCCAATCACTCCCCTTTCTGCTATCCCAGTCCCGGGGCGCACCTTCATTTACAGCTGCGTAACATCTCCTGGTTACCCCTCCTCCCTCTCCTCGCCATTTTCCATGTCTCATTCACCTTCCGTCAGCCGCTCCTCCCCTCCTCCCCCATCTCGTATCGCTTTCCCCCCCTCCCACTCCCCTTTCCCCGTAGTCGCCCCTCTCATACCATTCCCACATTCCCTTCCCTCCAACCACTTCCCATTTCCCCAACCACGAGTCAGCTGCGGCACCATCATAAACAGCCCCGCTACAGTCGACAAGCATCGTCGTCGGCTCTTTTCTCTCTTTGCCCTCTCCCGCTCTCCCCTTCTCCCCATCCTCCACCCCCCCTCCCCCACTTCCCCTCCCCCCATCATCACCTGCGGCACCATCATAAACAGTCCCGCTACAGTCGACAGGGCCGTCAGCCGCTCCGTCGTCGCGTTCCAAGCCTCATACTTGCCGGACCTAGCCGGCTCGTCCGGCACTGCCTCGGCAACTTCCGAGCCTCCCGTTCCGGCTCGGCAACGCAGGTCTGGACGGCTCGAAACTTCGTGCTTTATTAGCCAGCAGCATGCGCTGCTAACGCGAGCGTCAATCTCGCAAATGTCCTTATTGAGGGAATAAATTCGGTCAATAGAAGCACTAGCAACCGTTTCCTGGCTTAAATTGCGGGAATAAGACTGCAGTGCTCTGCGGTGGCAGAAATTGCTGACGTGGACGCGCGCGACGCGACGGCCGCAAATGCCGCTTTTGCAGCCAGTGCTGCTGCCAGTGACAAGTGCGGGCCTCGCTGCGGCACCATGGGTGTGTGACTGTGGTAGTGTGACTACACCGCGAGCTGTGCCACTGCGCGTGCCGCATGGCACGCTGTAAATCCTAGGAGCGAGTGTTAACGCCATTGGAGTTCCCGTCGCCTCTGGTGTCGCCGCGATGCACGGTGAGCACCAAGTCAAGTCAGGGAATCTTATGTTTGGTTCATACGCGATACAAACAAGACTCGACGTTAACGTCGGAAGGGTTGCGTAGATGTCGCATTCCTAGTTGACAAAAAATAAAAGAGGAAATGCAACTTTTTCATATTTAATACTTAATTTAGGTTTACCTTAATAAAGAATATGGCAAGCGATTCTTGATGGTGCGATCTATTCTGAATTATTTTTCCGTATCTATTCGTCGATATTTATGTTTTTTTAGCATTCATGCCTTTTATAAGTTAAAATCTAGACACATTGATCGTTTTTTTATATAGTGAACAATGATGTTCTCTTCCCTCAAAGATATACATTGTACATTGTTTTCTGTGGTTCTTAGTGAATTGTTTTCAATTGACTCACTCCTAGGGTTTTCACGTGATTGCGCGTGTGTTTTCACGTGACAATCTCCCACCCACCTCTTGCCTCTCCCTCCTACCCACCCACCTCATCGTAGCCTCTCCCTCCACCCCGCCATCCTTTCTTGCCCACCACACCGTCCTCTCTCCCTCCCACCCACCGTCGCCTCCCACCCGTCGTCGCCCCCACCCGCCGTCGCCTCTCCTTCCTACCCGCCGTCGCCGCTCCCTCCCTCCCGTCGTCGCCGCTCCCTCCTCCCGCCGTCGCCGCTCCCTACCTCCCGCCGTCGTCTCTCCCTCCCTCCCGTCGTCGCCGCTCCCTCTTCCCGCCGTCGCCGCTCCCTACCACCCTGCCGTCGCCGCTCCCTCCCATTCCGCCGTCGCCTCTCCCTCCCTCCCGTCGTCGCCGCTCCCTCCTCCCGCCGTCGCCGCTCCCTCCCACCCCGCCGTCGCCGCTCCCTCCCATTCCGCCGTCGCCTCTCTTTCCCATCCGCCGTCGCCTCTCCCTCTCACTTCGCCGTCGCCTCTGGCGGTGCGCGAGCGGGAGCTGGTGCGCGGCCGGTGCGCGAGCAGGAGCTGGTGCGCGGCCGGTGCGCGAGCGGGAGCTGGTGCGCGGTGCGCGAGCACGGGTTGGGTCCGTGAGGCACCGTGTTTTGCAGGTGTGTTTTCCTTTCCCCGTCCTTTTTCGTTTCTCTCCCGTTAAATTTACTTGTTCTTCTACCTTATTTATAGTTTCTGTGTGTCGATTAGGCTTTGCGCTACTGTTTGAAGTGCGGGAAAGAGGGAACGGGAGAGAGAGCGAGCGCGCAGGAGAGTACGCATTAGAGAGTGCGTGATAGAGGGAAGAAATAGCTAGTAGCTGGACGAAAACAGGCGGGCAGAGCGTGCAGGAGGGAGCGTGGGAGGGAGAGGCGGGAGAGTGGGCGCAGTTGGCTTCTGTGTCTTATGCACTTGCTCTTAAGGCGCTGACGCCGTGGGCGCGAGCGCCGTGAGTGCTGGTGCCTAAGGTGCTTGCACTTAGGGCGCTGGTGCTGGACGCAGGCGGCGAGACAGCTTGCGCCTAAGGCTCTAACGCTTTAGGCGCTTGAGCTCAGGGTGCTGGTGCCGTGGGCACAGGCGCCCTGTGCCCTTGCGCCATTGGCGCGAACCCCGTGGGCGCTGGCGCCTAAGGCTGTTTGGCTTAGGGCGCTTGCGCCTTGGGCGTGAGCGCCATGGGTGCTGGCCCTAAAGGAGCTTGCGCCGTTGGCGCGGGCGCTGTAGGTGTTAGCGCCCAACGCCCTTGCGCTTACGGCGCGAGCGCCTTGGGTACTGCCCCCTAAGGCGCTGGCGCTGTGGGCGCTGGCGCCTTGGGCGGTTGCGATTAGGGTGCTGGCGCCTTGGCCACGGGCGACGTGAGGACGAGAACTGGATGTGTGCATGCAATTCCAGGTGAGTTCGGTTGTGAGCGCAAGGGTGAGGGCATGTGAACGAAAGCGCAAACACGAGCATGAGCGCGAGAATGACTGCGAAAGCAAGTGTGAGAGTGAGTGGTAGTGCAAGTCTGATTGAGGGTGAGTGTGAGGGGGAGTGCGAGGGACCGTTCGAGTGTGTGTGATAGGGTGGGTGCGATGATGGGTGCAAGGGTTTGTGTGAGTGTTCATGAAGAGATGAGAGTATATGTGTGTGACTGAAGAGTGAGTGCAAGGGTAAGTGCGATGTTGAGCGCAAGCGTGAGCGTGGGTGTGAGACGAGGGTGTGTGAGACGGTGTGTGCGAGGGCAAGTAGGAGAGTGAGCGCGAATGTGAGTGTGAGGGCGAGTTTGAGCGTGAATGTGAGTTTGGGCGAGTTTGAGTTGAGTTCGAGGGTGCAGGCGACTGTGCGTGTGTTTCTGTGAAATCGTTCAAGTGAGTTTGAGAGTGAGCGCAAGCGCGAGTTTGAAGGTGAGCGCGAGGGTGTGTGTGTGTGTTTCTGTTAGTGTGTCTAAGAACGGCTAAACTTATTTTGTGCAGTGAGTGGTTGCGAGAGTGAGTACGAGAGAGTGTGTGAGGGTGCGAGTGCAGTTTTGAATCTGGGTGCAAAGGCGGGTGTGAGTGCGAGAGTGAGTGCGCGCATGCACTTGAAGGTGAGTGCAAGGGTGCGTGTAGGTCTATGTATGGGGGTGAATGTGAGATGAAGTGCGGGGATGAGTGTTTGGATGAGCGCGAGGTTGAGAATGAGAAGAGCAAGCGTGAGAGAGAGAGCAAGTGCGAGAGTGAATGTGACTGCAATAGCGATGGTTAGTGCGAGCGAGCGTGAGTGACAACGCTTATGAGTGCGAGGGTAAGTGCCAAAGTGAGCGTGCGGGTTATTCTGCGTGTTTATATCAATGTGTCTAAGAAAGTTGCGAATATTTGTGCGTGTGTGAGTGGGTGCGAGATTGAGTACAAGAGTGAGTGTGAACTTGAGCGTGAAGTTGAACACGAGGTAGGCTGCAAGGGATCCCATCATGCTGGCGTAGTATCTGTGGTGCCACGACTGATACCAGTTTACCTCTGTAAGTTGTCAAAACAGTTGCGCATCTTTGATTGATCCCTGCGTTCTTAAACAGCTCTTTCTATGGTGGTTGTTTCGTCTCTAGTGCATGTGTGAGCTGCATTCTCTGTTTTTGTTCTCTTGTAGCAATGGTTTGAGGTGTACTCTTGGTTTTTCTTGTGCAGGGCGGATGAGTTGTTTCCTGCTCGGCCACCTCGCAGGGCTCGTGAGTTGCATGATCTATTTATTGCTTTCTTGTGCACGGTGTGTAAACATGTTCTTTCTTTCTTGTGCAGGGTATGTGTCTTGCATTCTTTAATTTTGCTTTGTGCAGGGCGCATGAGCTGCATTCTTTTGATTGGCGGAGAAGGGAGATGAGGAAGGCAGTGGGAGGGAGATGAGGAGGGAGGAAGGGAGGGAGGGAGGGAGGGAGGGAGGGAGAGGGAGGGAGGGAGGGAGGGAGGGAGGGAGGGAGGGAGGGTGGGTGGGTTGTAGGGAGGGTAAGGTGTAATTTGCTAGCAATTATTTATGGATAGCTGAATTTCATGATGCTGCATGTTTATTATCTACAGGTATCTGTGCTTGTTTGCGTGTGTGCCAGTCAGGGCCCAAAATTGGCTTTAGTGCTCTCTTACTAATCAGGGTGCCTTGGTGACGTCACCTTGTCTGCTGATATAACCAAAGGATCAGTGGATAGGATAGGATGTGTTAAGCCTAAGAGGAGACAGTGAAGTCTCTGAGATGACCTTGTTGAATAATAATTGAAAGAGAACAAGATAATTGAGAGATAGAAGTACAAGGAATTAAATAGAAACTGACTAGCCATGTACTCTGAGGGGTACATTCCCTTATTAACTGTATTACATAGCTATAGTAACCGCGACTATTACTATCCTTAACAGTTACGGTGTTGCAGTCAGTTACCGTATAACCCCGGTGTCAAAATGAAGAATGGATGGTGCATTGATGTTGGTTGGGGTACATATAGCTAACCCTAAGTTTTGTACCCCCTAAGACAAACCTCACTATAGGCTACAACATTTGACACACCCCCATAGCCTAAGTGAGGGGTGTCTAGCAGAACCAAACGAGTACGGTCACAAGACCAGTCCAAGAAACAAAGCTCAGGGTGGATCACAACGTCACCACACAGTCTGAGCACAAACAACAGTGGCCACAAGGCCAGTCCAAGAAGTAACAGAGATATATAGAAAGCAAAGTAAACAGTACACTCAAGTCTAAGCAACACGAGAACTAGTGTCAACAAGGCCTAACTGCACACAGCACCTCTGGTGGTCACAAGGCGGAAGCGCCTTGGTGAAGATGTCTGCAGTGTTGGCCTCGGACTCCACAAACTCAAAGCGAGCCTGTCCACGCCTCTGCAACTCTCGCAGAAGAAAGTACCTGACGTGAATGTGCTTCACTCTGCTCTCCAGTCGTGGCTCTCGACAAAGGAGAATAGACGCCTTGTTGTCAGTGAACAAGGTCGGTGCAGAGCGAGGCCGCTCACCAAGGTCGGTGAGCAAGAAGGTCAACCAACGCAGCTCCTGTGCCGCCATGGCACCAGCGTAGATCTCAGCCTCAGCTGTAGAGGTCGAGACCGAAGAGGAGCGTGTGGACCGCCAGGAAACAGCTCCAGAACCCAGGCTGAAACAGTACCCCTGAGTAGACCTGTGAGTCTCAGCGTCGTCAGCGTAAGAGGAGTCACAGTGACCAGTAAGTACGACAGACTGCTGCCCTCCAAGAACTAGCCCCACGCCTGACGTCGTCGCTAGGTACTTCGCCACCCTCACAGCTGCTGTCCAGTGAACAGGACGGTGTCTCCCTGGCGCAACAAAGCGCGCAAGAACGCTGAGAGGGAAGGCGAGGTCCGGGCGAGTACAAGTCATCAGGTACATGAGGCAACCCACAAGCTCTGCGTAGGGACCACTAGGCTCGAACGGCTCGTCAGGAAAGGGTCCAGTGAGTCTGTGGTCAACAGCAAGAGGTGTGCGCTGTACTGTGGAGTGCTGAAGCCCGAACCGCTGAAGGACCTGCTGCACCATGTGCGACTGTGAAAGTATAATGGTGCGAGCAGCTCTGTCCCTGGTGATCTGCAGGCCAAGGTAGTGGCGCAGCTCACCAAGATCAGTGCAGGTGTGTCTCTTCTGCAGTTCGGACTTCACGTGTGCCAAAGCAACCCTGTCAGGGGTGGCGAAAACAAGGTCGTCAACGTAGACCAGAACAAAGAAAGGTGTGGTGCCACGACGAACGAACAGCGACGGGTCAGCAGAAGACGGCTGGAACCCAAGGTCAGACAGGGTAGAACGCAGGGTGTCGTGCCACTCACGAGGAGCCTGACGAAGACCGTAAACCGGTCGCCTCAGCCTCCACTGGGTCCCAGGAGGGAAAGAGCCAGTGAAGGCAGAGGGACGACGCAACCAGACCTCCTCGTGAAGACTGCCCTGAAGGAAAGCAGTAGAGAAGTCGAGAGAGTGTAACTCGTAGTCTCTCTGTGCTGCTACGTGTAGTAACACCCGAAGAGTGGTCATCTTCGGGGTGGGCGCGAAGGTCTGAAAGAAGTCAACTCCCTCGCGCTGACTGAAACCTCTAGCCACGTAGCGCGCCTTGAAGACCGGAGGAGATCCCGGTGGCCGCTTCACCCTGTAGATCCACATGCCGTCGACTACGTTCGCCCCCGGAGGGGGAACCTCATCGACGTAGGTGCCTGTGGATCTGTAGGAGGCCATCTCTGCGTCCATGGCAGCTCTCCACTGAGAGGCCCAAGGCCCTGACACTGCCTCAGCGTAAGTGCGAGGAGTCGGAATGTCAAGGGCGTCGGGGTCACCCTCAGGGGCGAGGAGCATGGCACAGAGATGAGGGGAAGCGGCCGCCAGGAACTCTAGCTCAAACTGCCTGTCCTCTAGGGCGTCACAGCCAAGGGCAGACACACCCCCGACGGCCAGAGGACTGGAAGGAGGAGCAGCCACAAGAGCGGTGGCGAAGTCAAGGCGGCGGGTAGAGGCAAACTCAGTGACTGCGGCAGTAAGAGCGGACACAGAGGACACAGAGGCACGAGGGTGGGTAACAAGAGAGGCGAGAACACGAGAGAGAACAGGACGGTACGTGCGGTAGTAGTCAGTGACAGGAGTAGGGAGCGACGCAGTGAGAGCCGACTCAGGAGGAGACGGAAGCACAGACAGAGACGGACGAGGTGGACTAGAACGAAGTAAGGCAGTACGAAGGTCAGTGAAGGGAACAGGAGACGAGGGACGAGCACGAGGGGAGCGACGAGAGGCCCAAGTCTGAGAAGGAGGAGGGGACAACGAAGACTGAGAACGAGGGAAAACAGCGGGAGAGGGGTCAGGAGGAGGAAGCGGAGGACCAGAGACGGGAGGAGAGGGGGAGGAGGAAGGAGAGGGAGACGGGAGACCAAGGGTCCGAAGACCCGAGACAGGAGGAGGAGACGGCAGCTGCTGCTGCTGCGGCTGCTGCGGCTGCTGCTGCTCCAGCGGCTGCTGCCCCTGCTGCTGCTCCTGCTGCTGCTCCTGCTGCTGTCGCTCCTGCTCCTCGAGCCGCTGCAACTCTCTCTCCTCTCTCTCCAACTCCAGCTGCTCCTCACGAGCACGACGAACACGAGCCTGGAACCTGGTCGGGTAGGGGTGGGGGGAAGGAGTAGTGTCCGGGGCAGCGGCAGCCC